GCCGCAGGACACCCGCAACCAGCCGCAGGACACCCGCAACCAGCCGCCGGACCCCTGCAACCAGCCGCAGGACCCCCGCAACCAGCCGCAGGACCCCGCAACCAGCCGCCGGACCCCCGCAACCAGGAGCAGGACCGAGCAACCAGGCACAAGATGCCACACACAGCCCCTTGACCCCCACAGCCAGCTGGCTCCTGCCCACGGGGCCCCACCTGCCAGACCCCGAGGTCCTTGCCTCTCCCCAGCCACAGTAGGCAGCCCGGGGAAGAAACCTCCTAGACCCTCCTGTGGGCAGCTGTTGTCACGTCTGCAGACCGGCTCCCAGGCCTCCCCTGGGGTATGCAGATGTTCCCACAGCTGTCTTACACCTGCACGTACATCACCCCCTGTTGCCGTGTGGGTACTCCCCGGTGGCACCGGTAGTGGACGATCTCCCTGAACAGCTTCCCCATGTCTGTCTTAACACGTCCTCCTTTCGGGCACTGGGTTGTTTTTGTTTGTGTGTTTTCCCCAGTGTCAGATACACGGCAGTGCCCTGGGTTCTTCAATCCTGCCGAACTCTCCCCCTTTATCTTCCTCAGAGACGTTCTAAGGAAATGATCAAAGCAAAGCCACACTCAGATCAGGCAAGACCGTTCCCCCGGCCCCTTCTGGCCGCGTCCCTCCCCACGTGATGACGAGTCCCCAAAGGAGCCTGCCCACTTCAAGTCCACAGCCCTTCTTCCAGGGACCTGGGACCCTCCCCCCAGGAGCCCCTGCCCCAGCGGCCCCCAGCTCATCTCCAGATGTGCGTTCTGGATCTCTCCTCCTGAGGTCCATTCTCACCAGCAGTAGGCACAGACGTGGACGTGAGGGGTGGCCGAGGCGCCCTGGGTCAGCGGACCGAGTCCGCACGTGGGAGCCGGGCTGCCCACACGCAGCCACACGAGGTCGCTCCCGATGCCAGGTGACCCAGGAGCCGGGGACAGGACGGGCCTGGGGGCCAGAGTCTGAGAACTTCACACTCGAGCCTGGCCTTCTAAGTGCTGTGCAAGTCTGTCAGGAGGGAGGGCGGAACACGTCTCATCTGACGGTTGGTAAGCCTGCTTCTGACTCTAAACTACGGAAGCACCTGGCGGGTGAGGCCCCATCTCACTTGGGACCCTGGGCGTCCTCGGGAGTCCTGGCTCGGAGCTCGTCACCGTGTTTGCTGGCTCTGGCCCTTCTGCACTGCCACGCTGCTCTTCCCGCAAAGCACACTGGGTTACGATCTGCGCATGTGCTGGGCAGCAGGGGTCCCAGGTGTCTATTCGGCAGGCGTGGGGCGATCCGCCAACACTGTTTTCCGCTGCGTTTCCCTCAGCACCTGCGAGAATAATAATAAAACCACCCTGCATCGAGCCCTTACTGTATGCCAGGCACTGTGATAAAACACTCTGCATTTTCTCATTTATTCCTCCCTGTGACCCTCTGAAGTAGGCACGTGTAGGGTCCCTGTTCTAGAGGCGAGGACAGTCAGAGGAACAATCAGTGCAGAAAACCTGCCTACACAGCTCCTTCTACCCCATTCGGACCCTCCTCTCTGCCTCTTGCTCTCTCCCCAGCCCCCACTCCCAACCCCTGAAACCTCCGCGGATGCGCCTGCCCTGGACGCGCCGTGTGGAGGGAACCGACGCCGTGTGCCGCCCCGCATCTGTTCTCTGTTGAAGCCTACCCACTCACACCCTGCTTTGGAGACCCCATCTGCGTTCCCAGTGACACCACTTTGCCCCCTGGGCCTTCTTGCTGACCAGGAGACACTGGGAGCGTGGGGGCTCATCGGCGGGAAAAGCGCATCTCCAGTCGGTATTGGGTTAATGGGCTTGTGGATGACACCAAAACAGACAAAAGCGTTTGTATGGTTTGCAGACACCGATGTAAAGTCACAAAGCGGGTCAAAGGGGGGAGGGCTACAGCCGCAGCTTCCGGGTCCCTTCGGACCGCGAGCACCAGGCCCAGGACTCCAGGAGCACTTCCCAAACACGAGGTTACACATCACGCTTCTGTGCAGCCCCCCTAGCGCCCCTCAGACACCCTCAGGGTCCTGCTGTGCGCGCACCGGTGTTCTGGTACCTTCCACACTCACCAGCCCGTCTCTTTCCTCGTCCTTCAGCCCCCAGACACTTTAACCTCTCTGCACAGCGGGGCCGTGGCCTGTGACCCGCACCAGGCGCACGCGGTCAGCTCCCATGGGGCAGGTGGAGGCTGCTCAGAGAACTTCCCCTGAGTAACAGCTGAGGGAGTGACACTGCGGCTCCGTGGGTCGGAGCCACGCCGTCTGGCCACGTGCGGCCGCTTAAGATTCACCAACGGTCCACGCAGTCAAAAACTCAGGGCCTGTGTCGCGCTGGCCGTGCTCGACGGCCACCACACCGGACAGCATACATCACGGGACATTTCCATCACCCCAGAGAGTGCCCTCAGACAGTTCTGATGCCAACTCCTCCCTTTACGGCTCGCGGCCGTGCTGTTAGGTGACTCCACGCCTCTCCCAGACAATCGGCCTCTCGTCGTTCCCGTTACTCCGTTCTTGTGATTTATGAAGGGAAAGTCCTGTGCGTCTCACGTGATAAATCGTCTTTATTTACGCAGGGCTGGGAAGGGGCCAAAAGCGAACGGTCAGCGAGCAGCGTGTGAGAACCACAAACGCCTGCCCGGAGGACGGGTGCTCCTGGAGCAAACGCGTTTCCTGCCGATTCCGGAACGCTCTTTGTTGGACCGCGTTTGCTCAGACCTTTGCGAGCGCGCTGCGTTTCTGTCCCTGGGGCTTGATGCTGAGCTCCGCTCCGCAGTCAGAGAGACTGAGAGATGTCTCCGCCTCCACCCCCCGAGCCGGGGAGGGCTGGGCTCTGACACTGCCCGACTCCCCCGCTTCCACTTTGGAAACGACAAGCCGTGGTTGTGTGTGTGCTCGGGCCACCCTTGGGGCAAATGACTGGCTCTCAGTAAACACTCCAGGCGGCCCGTGGCCTTCCGGACGGCAGCTTCTGCGAATGGAAGATTTCACGTGGGGAAAGATCTTGCAACTCCGCTCGAGAGCAGATACCGCGGAAGCCAAGAAGGGCCACAGTCTCAGGCTGGACAAGTGAAGAGGAACGGCCACCTCCTGAGAGCATCTCACTCTGCTTAGGCATCGGGAAGAGCACACAGTAGGCGTGGGGGGGGGCACGCTGGGGGGGCCCCGGGGGGGCTCCCGTCCTGAGGAAGGGGGCAACGACAGTGAGGAGCCATCGTCTCGGCTGCAGCCACCGCCTTCGAGGAGGCGTCTCCGGACAGAGGAATGAGGGCCCAAGACATCCCACCAAGCTGAGACGACGACCAGGAGGATCTCACCCAGTCAAGATGGGACGTGGCAGCAAAGGATTTCTCTAGCAGCAAAAACGTTGTCAGAGTGAGTACGTAAGAGTTTCTGACCTCTACGAGCTCACTATAAGGCAACCAGCACGACCGGAACATTAAAAGCAAGACTGTCGATGCTCACTAACGACGAGGGGTGAGGAGGAGTGGCTGACAGGGCCCTCTGTGCCTGGGCTCGTCAGCTGCACCCGCACCACACTGGACCCCAGGGCCGCCCTCCGGGGACCACCGGGAGACGGGGTCGGAGGACCGGGAGACGCGCGCCGGGCGTGTCGGGTCTGGAGAAGGAGTCTCAGGAGTACCGATGCATCTCTGCCAGTCTTTTAGGGTCCTTTCCAGAGGAGAGAGTAGATAAGCAATTCTATTTACACGGCTAATTGTTTGAAGGGTGCTGAGCAGAGAAAAGACACACTTCCACTCTTTTCTCAGCGCCCAGCGCGCCGTACCAGGGGCGGGGGGCGCGGGGGGCACTGCTTATTAAACATCAGGCTCAGGGGCGCGCAGCTTATGAGTGGCAGAGCTGGGACTCGAACCTGCACCTGCCTGGCGCCCGAGTCCCCTTCCTCCGGGAAGTCCCCCTGACTATGCCAGGAGCCCCCGACGGCTGACCTTTCCTGTCAGGTCGCCCCCTGTGAACTCTTCTCCTCACACCCCAAAGAACCCACACGGTCTCGACTTTCGTCCGCGCCCGCAACGCTAGCTGACCCCTGCCCAGCCCCCACGGCCACCTCTTCGCCCCCGCGTGACGCTGGGCTGCCCGTTCTGGCTCACGTTCCTGAGAACGACTGAGCGGATCAACCGGCCTGGCCCGAACACCCACCAGCCTCAGGGCGGGCTGGGGGCGCCCGGAAAACACCAATGTGAACCGAGAAGTACCCGGCAGTCATCATCGGATCGTTCAACAGCGTGCGCCACACTCGGGGGGGCCGGCACTCCGTCCCCGACTTCCTGGGAAAAACAGGTAAAGACCCCAACGAACGGCTTCGGGTGTGGTGGGTGCCACGGTGGAAGCAGGGGTGGGGGGCCGCGGGGTCTGTGGGCACGTCAAGGACGGCGTCCAGAGGAGCACGAGGGGCAGGCCACGTGGGGCAGACTCCCTTGGGACACGGAGCGTGCGGAACCCCGGGCACGGAGCCTGCAGTCCTCAGACGTGTCGACACGCGGGGCTGGCCGCTGCTGGTGGTGACGGCAAAGGTCAAACTGTCGGCCAACAAGGGGCGTGGGGAAGGAGAGGGGACGGACATTCAGCGTGGGGCTTGCGCTCGGGCTTGCTACTCATTACGCTTGCTCGTTGGAACAAGGGCACAGACGCTGTGGGGAGGGAACTGCGACGGTGCCTGTCGACCGGCCGTGGCCGGGACACCCTCTGATCCGGTGACCCTCCTCCAGGACCGTGTCCTACGAAGTGCCGGTCGCTCACCTCACTGCTCATGCCCTCGTTAATTTGTCTCTAACAGCAGAACACCGGAGACCATCTAATGCCTTCTGATAAGGGGTGACTCGACAAATTACCAACGATCCACACAATGGACCAGGACAGAGCGGGTAAGAAAGGAATGAATTAAATATACATGTATCAACGCGGAAAGATAACCACGATAGACTGAGGTTTCTTCAGTTGTAGTTTAGGATACATACAGGATCATCTCACTGCGTCCGTGTGTGTGCGTGTGTGTGTGTGTGTGTGTGTGTGTGTGTGTGTGTGCATGTGTGTTTGCCCAGGGAAAGGTCTGGAAGTGTAGGTCTGACTCCACATAAGGGTTCACTCTGCACCGGGAAGGGGAGTAGAGGAGAAACAGGAGATTTTCACTGTTTACTGCACTAGCTTCTGGATTGCTTAAAAGGTTTGCATCACACATGAAAAGCTCTGTAATTTAAACATTTTTGAATGATGGGGCGCCTGGGTGGGTCAGTCGGTTGAGTGTCCGTCGGCCCAGGTCATGAGTTCAGTTTGTGAGTTCGAGCCCCGTGTCAGGCTGTGTGCTGACAGCTCGGAGCCTGGAGCCTGCTTCCGATTCTGTGTCTCCCTCTCTCTCTCTGCCCTTCTTCCACTCGTGCTCTGTCTTTCTCTCTCTCTCTCAAAAATAAACAAACCTTAAAAATCTGTTTTAATTTTAAGGGGCTCCTGGGTGGCTCAGTCGGTTGAGTGTCCGTCGGCCCAGGTCATGATCTCGCAGTTCAGTTTGTGAGTTCGAGCCCCGCGTCAGGCTCTGTGCTGACAGCTCGGAGCCTTGAGCCTGCTTCGGATTCTGTGTCTCCTTCTCTCTCTGCCCCTTCCCCACTTGTCCGCACGCTCGCGCTCTCTCTCTCTCTCTCTCTCAAAAATAAATAAACATTAAAAATTTTTTTTAATTTGTCTTAATTTTTGAATGAAACGATTACCAAGAAGACATTGGCCTATAATTAGATGAAGTAAAATCTAATTAAATACCTGCTCCACTCCTTCTCCACAGGGTCCCCAACCAAAGGGACACATGTGCAGGCAGGAGCCACAGCAGGTGAGGCCACGCTCTGGTACCTCCCGCTGCTGGCCTGCAGTGAGTGGTGAGTGGGCCAAAGTCTGAGGTTTTAGGCCCCAAGATCCCCACCCTGAGAGATCTGATTGTCCTACTTAGGAACCGCGTCTGATCCCTTTCCCGGCCCGGGTCCATGTCACCGACTGTGTTCAAGCACACACACACACTCACATGTACGCACATGCACACACACCCATCCACGTGCACACACGTGTGCATGCACACGCACACGCACACGTCCCACGTGCTGAGCAGGAGTCTCCCTGTGTCTCTGGCCCGTATCATTCTTGGGGCCCTGCTTCCCCCTTCTGACGCCGCACACGGACCCCTATCGGCATCGGCGTCTAGAACCCCAGCATTACTGAAACGTGCAAAGGACACGGGCGCTCACGCTATGCCAAGCACACGCCTCGTGACCCGCCCGGCACCGGTCACTACCTGTCTCCACCCCGTA